TCGTCCAAGGGGGGCGGTGACTAGTAATAAGGGGGGCGGTAAATAGTAACGCCCTATATATATAATATAGTTTACTAACGGACCATCCCCCAAGCGAGCGAACGGCACGAGTTAAATTCACGCGCCGCTAGTGCTCCAATGGCCCTCACCCTATAATATCTCCACACCCTATAAAAGCCTACTTCTTCAAAATGGTCTGCTCTTTTTCATCGCGCTATTAACAATTATTATTACACAAATTTTCACGTGACCCGATTGAAATATTTATTTATATATTTTTTTTGTACTATTGAATGTAAAAAATTATTACTGATAGCGCGATGAAGTGCAAAAACATATGTTGACACATTTTTTTTTTTTTTTAATTGTAAGCAAAAATATATATTTGTACAAAAATAATTGATTAGTATTATTTAATTATATAAATAAAATTGAAGATAATAGAATTGAGTTAAATTTAAGTTAAATTTGAGTCTTGATTAATTTTTTATTGTGAAAACCGTGAGAACCACTATTTTTAGTTGTACGTAGTGCTATGATTAATTCTGTTTTAGTGCTATTTTTAAGATAGAATTATTTTATTAAAGATAACAACACAATTTATATTAGCATTTGTGAAAATGATAGCATCATATGTGTTAAAAATAACATCGTTCACAATTATAAATAGAATCAAATATGGTTCTCACGGTTCGTACACCAACACTAGTTTTTATTTGAACCAGTGAGAATTAAGTCTTAGTGTAAGAACCGTGAGAATCGCTATTTTTAATTGTAAATAGTGTTACGATTAATTGTGTTTTAGTCCTAGTTTTAAGTTTTAACCATGGTGCATTTTATTAAAAATAACAATACAATTTATATTAACATTTGTGAAATAGTAGCACCATGTAACTGTAAAATAGCATTATATGTAACAGATATATTTGGAAGATATTTGGAAGATATTTTTCATGCTTATCTTTGGTATCTAAATATTTGATTTGATATGTTTTTATCTCTTGTCATCTTTATATATAGTCTTTGTAAAAACACTTTCGCGAGAACGAAGAAAACAGTTCTCTTTTCCCTACTATTATGTTCTCTTTTGTGTTTTTAGCATGGTATCAGAGACAGGAATTTCGCCGCAGCCTGCATACCTAAGAATTTTTCTTTTCAACTATCATCATAATTCTTTTCTTGTCTCTCGTTCAATATGTCAACCAACACCGAATCTCAATCAAAATATAAAACAATCTCACCATACGATATCACGTCGAGTGATAATCCCGGATGCTTGATTTCTACGGTTCTCCTCACAGGCCCAAATTACATCGAATGGTCCTCTTCGCTTCGTACGGCTCTCCGGGCACGCAAAAAGTTCGGTTTTCTCGATGGTTCTATCTCCACACCGGCCGACAACTCTCCGATCCTCGAAGATTGGTTCGTTAATAACTCGATGTTGGTCTCGTGGATAAAGAATACAATCGATCCGGCACTCCAACCCTCCATCCCGCAAATTGAACTCGCCAAGGATTTGTGGGATCATCTTCGTCGCCGTTTCTCTGTCGTTAACGGCACTCGAATTCAACAATTAAAAGGCGAATTGGCTTCTACGGTACAAAAAGGAATGACTATCAGTGCATACTATGGCAAGTTACGCATGTTATTTGATGAATTGAATTCATATCAACCACCGATCACGTGTACCTGTGGACATGCCCGTGAATTCGAGGCTCGTCGAGATACAGAAGAAACCCACCAATTTTTATTGGGACTGGATAAAGAGGTGTACGGGTCGGCCCGCTCTGGTCTCTTAGCCCAAGATCCATTGCCCTCTTTCGAACGGGTATATTCGGTGATCTCGCAGGAGGAACGACTCTCCTCTCCAGCTGCTCCGACAACCGAGGTCATGAGTTTCGCCACCACCGTAACACGCCAATCGTCCTCCCGCCCTTCTCGGTCGTCTCGCCAGTGCAACGTTTGTGGCCGATCTGGACACGACGCCACAGTGTGTTACCGGGTCAAGGTCTGCCCCCATTGTAACAAAACGGGTCACGATCCACGTCGTTGTTTTGAAGTTGTTGGCTACCCTGCCGGTTGGTCCAGCAAGTCTCCGGCGGCTCCATCTACCGGCGCAACTTCGGCGGGACAAGGCCAATCGATCGACACCTCCGCGTCTTCTGCTGGGAATAATCGCAGACTTCTTCCTTTAGTCTCTGCCAAAGCTAATTCTGCCTCTATTATTGGGGCAAAACCTATTGGGCCCGGTCCTGTTGGGCCACATGTTGCTAATTCTATCCAATTTGGTTCTTATGGGATTAATTCTGCCCCCGCATCTACAGGTTTAAGTCCGGATCAATGGCAGGCTCTAGTCAATCTTGTTCGCCCTCATAATTCTGATACTACCAATTCTAATCATTTAACTGGTAAGGATTATTCTCATGGTTGGATGTATGACTGTGGTGCCACACATCATATGACTGGATATTTTCAGTATCTTATTGATATTTGTGATATTTCCCCTCGCCCAGTGCAGCTTCCTGACGGACAATTGACTATTGCAACTAAAGCCGGCAAAGTTCGCCTTAGTCACAATTTGGTCTTGATTAATGTTCTTTTTGTTCCTAGTCTTAAATGCAGTCTCATTTCGTTGTATCATTTGTTAGACGATCATGGGTGTATAGCCCAATTCACTAATGTTGATTGTCTAATACAGGACCGTACTACGAGGACGGTGATTGGTCTGGGTGAACAAAAGGGGGGGTTATATTTTTTTCGTGATCCTATGAAGACGGTGACGGCTCAGGTATCTGTTGGCGGTTCTATGGACTTGTGGCATCGCCGATTGGGTCACCCACCTTCACAGGTTATTGGGAAGCTTTGTAATTTATCTCCTTGTCATGATAGTAGTTCTACCAATAAAGTTTGCGATGTCTGTTATCGTGCCAAGCATACTAGAGACTCCTTTCCTTTAAGTGCAAGTACTAGTTTGGAACCTTTTGCTTTGATTCATTGTGATTTATGGGGTCCCTATCGAGTCCCCTCGTTCTCTGGTGCTAGATATTTTTTGACAATTGTTGATGATTTTTCTCGAGCTGTGTGGCTTTATTTGTTGGATGATAAAAGTTGTGTTTTTGCTACTTTGACTGGTTTTTTTGCCATGGTCCAACGACAATTTAATAAATTGGTGAAAGTTGTTCGCAGCGATAATGGGACTGAGTTTATGTGTCTCACTTCATATTTTCGGGAAAATGGTATTTTACACGAAACATCTTGTGTTGCGACTCCCCAGCAGAATGGTCGAGTGGAACGTAAACATCGTCACATCCTTAACGTGGCCCGCGCTCTACGTTTTCAGGCCCATTTACCCATTGCATTTTGGGGCCACTGTGTCTTGACTGCCGGATATTTAATAAATCGTACTCCCACTCAAGTCCTACGTGGGAAAAGTCCCTATGAAGTTCTTTTTGGAAAACCACCATCTCTTACACATCTTCGTGTTTTTGGCTGCCTATGTTATGTTCATCATTCAGATCGTTCGGGTGATAAATTCGCTAGTCGTAGCAAAAAGTGTATTTTTGTCGGCTATCCTTTTGGTAAGAAGGGCTGGTCAGTGTTTGATCTTACCACTCGACAGTTTTTGGTTTCTCGAGATGTTAAATTCTGTGAGGATCAGTTCCCATTTTCTACGCCACCTGCTTTTGGGACTGACTCTGTACCGCTTCCTTCTTCTACACCATGGCCTGTTATTGATGATGAGTCCTCCTCTGTGCCTGATTCTGCGCCGGTCATCTCTCCCAGTTCTACGTCTTCATCTCCTTCTGGGACTACTACAGTCAGGGGGGGTTCTGACTCTATGGTGTCTACTGAGCTTTTGGGTCGTGGTCACCGGACAAAGTTTCCTTCCGTTAAACTGCGCAATCATGTCACTAATACTATTATTTCCCCCCCTCTTCACTCTCAGACCACTTCATCGTCCTCAGGTACGCCATATCCTTTAGCTCTCTTTGTTGATAGTACTGCTTTCTCATCTGCCCATAAGACTTTCTTGGCAGCTATGGAAGCCTCTGTCGAGCCACGATCCTTCACCGAAGCCATGGCTGATTCTAATTGGCGCTCTGCCATGCAGTCTGAAATTGCGGCTCTTGAGAGCAATCACACATGGAATCTTGTTCCGCTTCCTTCAGGTAAACATGCTATTGGCTGTAAATGGGTGTACCGTATCAAACATCGTTCTGACGGGTCCATTGAACGATATAAGGCTCGTTTGGTTATCCTTGGGAACAAACAGATCGAGGGTGTTGACTACACTGAGACCTTTGCTCCCGTCGCCAAAATGGTCACTGTTCGAATTTTTTTGGCCATCGCTGCCGCCCGCCAATGGGAATTACATCAAATGGATGTTCATAATGCCTTTCTGCACGGTGATCTTGATGAAGAGGTGTATATGAAATTACCTCCTGGTTTTCGGTCTCAGTCCTCTGATCTTGTCTGCCGTTTGAAACGGTCCCTATATGGCCTTAAGCAGGCTCCCCGGTGCTGGTTTGCAAAATTATCTATGGCACTTCGCCAATATGGTTTTCTTCAATCTTATGCGGATTATTCTCTTTTTACCTTATGTCGCGATGGTGTTCAGCTGCATGTTCTCGTGTATGTTGATGATTTGATCATATCCGGTAATAACAGTGGGGCTATTTCTTCTTTCAAGGCTTATTTAAGTCGTTGTTTTCATATGAAGGATCTCGGTATTTTGAAATACTTCCTGGGATTGGAAGTCGCTCGCAATTCCTCGGGCATTTTTTTGTGCCAGAGGAAGTATACACTTGACATACTGTCTGAAGTAGGCTTTCTTGGGTCTAAGCCGGTCTCCTTTCCACTAGAGCAAAATCATCAGCTTCCGCTTGTCACTGGTTCTCCACTCTCGGATCCACAGAAATACAGGCGTTTGGTAGGAAGGCTTATTTATCTTGCCGTCACCCGACCAGACTTATCTTATTCCGTTCATGTATTGTCTCAGTTTTTGCATCATCCTCTTCAGGCTCATTGGGATGCTGCTCTTCGGGTCGTGCGCTACTTGAAGAGCGCACCTGGCCAGGGCATTTTCTTCCGTGCTGATTCTGATTTACGGCTCACTGCTTGGTGTGATTCTGATTGGGCAGGTTGTCCGCTTACGAGGCGCTCTCTCACAGGTTGGATCATCCAGCTTGGTTCTTCGCCCATCTCGTGGAAGACCAAGAAACAATCTATTGTTTCTCGCTCTTCCGCCGAAGCAGAATACCGTTCCATGGCTTCTACCACTTGTGAGCTGAAGTGGTTGAAAGCCCTACTGGGATGTTTTGGTGTTGATCATTCATATCCGGTGTCTCTCCATTGTGACAGTAAGGCTGCTTTGCACATTGCCTCTAATCCGGTGTTTCATGAGCGTACCAAACACATTGAAATTGACTGTCACTTTGTTCGTGATGCACTATCGAAGGGACTTATTGCTCCTCATTATGTTCCTACCTCGGCTCAATTGGCAGATATTTTTACTAAGGCCTTGGGTGGACAGGAATTCACGAACTTTCTCCACAAGTTGGGCATTCGAAACCTTCATGCACCAACTTGAGGGGGGGTGTAACAGATATATTTGGAAGATATTTGGAAGATATTTTTCATGCTTATCTTTGGTATCTAAATATTTGATTTGATATGTTTTTATCTCTTGTCATCTTTATATATAGTCTTTGTAAAAACACTTTCGCAAGAACGAAGAAAACAGTTCTCTTTTCCCTACTATTATGTTCTCTTTTGTGTTTTTAGCATTATATGCAATTCAAACAGCATCTAGTTCAGTTTTTACGGTTTTCACTTTAGAACTAGTTTTTATTTGAACCAACCCCTACTATAACAAGCTAGTGGTTAGGTTGACTTAGCAACGTAACAACTGTTATTATAACAACACTCTATATTATTTTAATTTTATTTATTCAGTTTAGAAATTAGATTTAT